CCCTCCTGTGTACAGGGGATGGCAGACTGTCCCCACCCCCGCTGTGTTTTGACTGTTTCCGCCCTTCCCGCCTGCACAGACACGGAAGACGGTGTTGAAACTGACGGCATGTCGGGGCGGATCGAGACCGATCCCGCGGTTTGCGGGGCCCGGCAGCGCCTCTCCCGTTGATTTTTCTTTCCCAGCAGGAGGCTGACAGGTTCGGGATTGCGGATGGATCCCCGATCCCTTCTGGTGTTGCTGCTCGGTCTCCTCCGGGGGATCGCTGCAGAAGGTGAGGATCTGGCTGAGGCGGGGAGGTTGGTGTAAACTGTGTCTGTGTCGGGTTCAGCACCTTCTCCCCGTGTCTGTGTTACCTCACGGTGCTCCGGTTTCCTTCCTGCAGACCCAAGCTGTGCAGGTTAGGGTGCATTGGCCATGGGAAATTGTCCCTTAGCGTCCATGGGAAAGGCAGGGGAAAGGGCAAAGGGGGTGGGTCCGGATGACATGCTCTTTGAAGGGTCAGTGTGAACTGAACGGGACGAATGGCCTTCTTCCACACCGTTAGGGATTCTATGACAACTGCAATTCAACCTTTCACTATCCTGATGATTCCTATAGATCTGCAGCGCAGAAAAAATGGGGCCTTTCAGCCCATCAATTCCATTCCAGCCAAAAGCAACTGGCTAACTCTTTCAGCCCCACTTTTCAGCACTGGGCCCATAGCCTTCTATCCGTTGGCACATTGAAATCGAAATTTAAATACGCAAGTGCACATGGAAATATTTCTTAAACATTATGATGCTTTCTGCCTCCACCACTCATAGATTCAGGTGAGTTCCAGATTCCCAACACACTGTGGCTGAAGATAATTGTCCCCTCTCTAAACATCCTGCCCCTTGCATTAAAATATCAAATATGCCCCCACTCAGTCTTCTCTGCTCCAACGAAATCAATTCCAGTCTTGTTCAAACTCTCTTCATAACTAAAACTCTCCAGTCCAATCAACATCCTGATAAATGTCCTCCACACCCTCTCCAGTGCAATCACATCTCTCCTGTAATGTGGATCCCAGAACTGCACACAATACTCTATCTGTGGCCTAACCAACACCTTACATAGTTGCAGCATAACCTCCCAGCTCTAACCATCTCTGCCTTGGTTGGTAAAGGCGAGTAACACATGTGCCTTCATAACCACTTCATCTACCTTAGCGGTAAGGTTCTGGGGAGCGATGCTGAACAAGGAGACCTTGCAGTGCAAGTTCATAGTTCCTTGAAAGTCACAGTTAGGTAGGACAGTGCAGAAGGCATTTGATACGCTTTATTGGTCAGTGGATTGAGTATAGGAGTTGGGAGGTCATGTTGCAGCTGTACAGGACATTGGTTAGGCCACTTTTGGAATATTGCATGCAATTCTATTCTAAATGCTATAGGGCGGATGTTGTGAAAATTGAATATGTTCAGAAAAGATTTACAAGGATGTTGCCAGGATTGGAGGCTTTGAGCTACAGGGAGAGGCTGAATAGGCTGGTGCTAGTTTCCCTGGAGCATTGGAGGCTGGGAGGTGACCTTATAGAGGTTTTTGAAATCATGAGGGGGATGAATAGACATGGTCTTTTCCCCAGGGTAGGGGAGTCCAAAACGAGAGGGCACAGGTTTAAGGTGAGAGGGGAAAGATTTTAAAGGGACCTTTCCATGTAGAGGGTAGTGTGTGTATGGAATGAGCTGCCAGAGGAAGTGGTGGAGTCTGGTACTATTACAACATTTAAAAGGCACCTGGATGGGTATATGATTAGGAAGGGTTTAGAGGGATTATGGGCCAAATGTTGGCAAATGTGAGTAGATTAGTTTGGGAAATCTGGTCGACATGGGCGAGTTGGAATGAAGGGTCTGTTTCAATGATGTATATCTCTATGACTCTATAACCTGTCCTGCTACCTGAAGTAATTCAGTATGTTCAGTGCCTTCCTTCTCCATTTTGGCCCATCACAAGCCAGGGTCTGTCCTGAGTTGAAGGGAGATACTTAATCTTTTCAGGGATGCTTCTCAGGGCGTCCTTTAAAGTGTTTCTGCTATTGTCCTGCTGGTATCAAGCTCTACGTTGTTTGAGAGTCTGATGTCATGTGTCCGAATAACAGGGCCTACCCAGCGGAATGTGTTAGTGCTAAGGGGGCTGGGCAGTTGGTTTGTGAGAACATGCTGCTGTTGGACTGCCCTTTTTGCAGACTCAATGGATCTGGCAAAGTGGATGGATCATCACTGTTGATTTCAGTTGAAGGGAGTTGTTGTGTTCAGTTCTGGTCGCCTCATTATAGGAAGGATGTGGAAGCTTTAGAGAGGGTGCAGATATTTACTAGGATGCTGCCCGAACTGGAGGGCACATCTTATGAGGAAAGGTTGAGGGAGCCAGGGATTTTCTCATTGGAACGAAGAAGGATGAGAGGTGACTTGATCGAGGTGTAAAAGATGATGAGAGGCATAGATAGAGTGGATAGCCAGTGACTTTTTCCCAGGATGGAAATGACTATTACGAGGGGGCATAATTTTAAGGTGATTGGAGGAAGGTATACGGGAAAATGTCAGAGGTAGGTTCTTCACACAGAGAGTGGTGGGCGCGTGGAATGCGCTGCCGGCAGCGGTAATGCAGTCAGATACTTTAGAGACTTTTAAGTGACTCTTGGATAGGCACATGGAGGATAGTAAAATGTAGGGTATGTCGGGTAGATTGATTTTAGTAGGTTAATAGGTCGGCACAACATCGTGGGCCGAAGGGACTGTACTGTGCGGTACTGTTCTATGTTTTATGTTCTTGGGAGTAGTTCTTTAGATCTGGGTGTTGGTTTGAAGAGGACTTTAGTTTTCCAATATTGAGTGAAAGGATAATTATCTCTCAAATTTCTTAGAACTGGCGCTTGGCCCTAGTTTCATTTTGATAGACTTCATAGTGGTTCCATTGGTGATCCTGACCAACCACTGGGGCGGCAGTGGCCTAGTGGTATTAATTATGGAATGTTAATCCATAAATCCGGTAATGTCCTGGGGATTTGGGTTTGAATGCGGGTTCGAATTGAACTCAATAACAATCTGGAATTAAGAGTCTGACAACGACTGTGAAACCATTGTCAATTGTCAGAAAAAATCCATCTGGTTCACTAATGTCTTTGAGGGAAGGAAACTGCCAGCATTACCTGGTCTGGCCGACATCTGACTCCATGTCCACAGCAATGTGGGTGAATCTTAATGGCCCCCCGGGCAATTAGGGATGGGCAATAAATGCTGGCCTAGCCAGAGACGCCCACATCCTGGGAATGAATTGAAAGAAATGCATATTATGAACCACCCCCACCCCAAATCTG